CACTAGAACATAACTGCAGGCTCTTTAAGGAAAATTGAGGTTTTAGTGTCATTTTCCATGCAAAGAGGAAGCAGATTAAGCTCTACCTTTATAGCAATTGTGTAGGTCTCTTAGATACTTAGAGATCAAGAATTTAAACCCACCTTGAGCACTGTGGCAATTCCACATGCACTAATCCCTACAGATCCTACAGTGAGGGTTAAAGAGATGAAACTCAGAAATTCTTCTAAGAAAAGTGGGACAACCTCCAAAGTTGATTCCTTTCTGCCCAGGTCCCAAATTCGCCCTTCTGAAGGTCCGTTCTGATTTCAATGGAAATATTGCAGCGAAAAGGAATTCTTTTCCATAAATTGAAAACAAGCACCATATAAGACTCTCCAAGCAAAAAGGAAATAATTATCCTTTCCCCATTTGTAGTGTGATATAATTTTGGGGGCAYTTCTGTAGTCACACAATATCAGATTTCATCTTCCACTGCAGCTGTCTGTGTGCCACAAATGCCTTAAGAGGCAACTGATTGAACAGGATTAGCTGCCCAGCCCATGGGTCTTCTCCGTCCTGATTTGAGGTATTTGTAATCCTTGTTGCAGATATTTAATGACTGGATACACAAGGAAAAACATTGTTAAAAATRAACTTGTTTTAAAGAGATAATAAAGCAATTTTATAAAGCAGAAAGATACCTGCCTCTCTTACAATACTTCATCTACCAGTCTTTATCCAGTTTGCTCCTTGATGCTGTTCTAAGCTATCATTAAAACATTTCCCTCCTTTCTGTTCTCCCTTTTCTTTCTCCCCCCCTCCTTATTTTCTCTACTGGACTGACACCACCTTCTGAATTGATTCCCCCTCACTGGACAAGCAGTACCCATGAGGAGAAAAAAACTCTTCTCTTTTTTTTTTTGTCCCTGTCTCTTTTCTGGTTTTTTTTGTAGTAAAAAGACAGATTCTTTGGAACTTCCTCTTCTTAAGCTCTCTCCAAGTTCCCCAGCACATATGAGAATAAGAGTGATGCAGTCAGTGGTGATGCCACCAGGGCCTACCAGCAAAGAACCAGGTGAAAAACAAATCAGTTGTGGAGATCATATGATCACTGCTATCACTGCTGAAGTGGAGCAGAGTGCTTTGCAGGAGGAAAGTTCCTGATTAAAATACTTCATATGCCACCTTG